GTGATCATTTTTGAAATTGTTTTACAAAATCATTAATACAAATAACATCTCTATAAAAAAAATCTTTTCATACATGCTTTTCATTTTATATGATTTTATATTTATTTTTTCTCATTAATTTACTTAACATAAAAATATTTTTGAAAACATTAGCTTCATAAAAGGAATTTTTTCCTGCATTATCTATCGCTGAGGACATTTCTGTATGATTCACTAGCTATTATAAAAAAAATTTAAATGACTGACAAATACCAGCTTTTTTTTTTCATTTTAAATAATCGTTCATAAAACAAATTGACCGCACTGTGAACCAGCATCTTTACCAAAGAATCTTGGGACGTGTTTATAATGTATAAACTAATTATCGTTGATTAATCATGTACTTCAAACACGGAAAGATACTATTAATCTACGAGCTTCAAAACAGGAGACGCAAACCAAAAGCATTTACAGAAGGCACACCCATAAAAACATGCTTGATAATATCGCAAAAATGTTTGCATGTAAACATATATAAGTGGAAGACTTACAAATAAAACATATGGAGATAACGAACAGTATTCAAGATGAAAAGTCCATAAAACAATAAAAAACAGGAGCAGAGCAAACACAGACCTCCAAAGTATCAGAGGTGGGATCAGGTGCCATGGAGGAGTGAGCATTCCCTGCCGATCCTTTTTATGATCCGGTCACACCCACTTGATTCAGTGTTCTTGTTTGTCAGTGTGTAAAGAGGCGATAATTGGTATATTGCTGCATAAGAAACGGAAATTGACGATTGAAAAGTCATTACGATTATCATAAAGCTTGGTGTTTAGATAAACATTAACGTCTTTTTCAAATAAAGTATCAAAATATGAAATACAATATAAATGTGTCAGACTCTGTGGTATCTTTTATTTTAAGCTTACAAGGATATATCATATTGACATAGGAATATATCTAAATGTGGAATTGTATATGGACCACAGCAAGTGTTTTCTCCTGTTCGCGTATACGATTTTGAACAAATTCTGTTTCAAAATAGGTCTGCTAATAACTGGGTCCAACTGATACTCAATAGATTTTGTATATAGTTTTTGTCCTGTCCGTACGTTTGGCTGTCTGTTTGTCAATAACCTTATCCTTGCTCTTACTATTGAGTAGTTGAGGCTTTGGCTGTCATACTCAAAACATGTCTTCCTTGAGATATGACCTTTTAGACACTTACATATTTGACCTTTTAACCATTCAGTTTGCTCTTCTTTCGCAATTTTTTTTTATCAAATTTCAAACTTTCATACCTTTCAAATTTTTATAAGTTACAATTAGTGTTACGTCTTTCATATTGTCATGTGTCATGCCTATTAGTGATCTTTATTTTTGTTTTGAAATTGACAACGAAAGTTTCCATTTACCTGATCAATACACAGGGCTCATAGCGGGTGTGATCGGTAAATAGGGGAGGCTTACTCCTCTTAGACAGCTGATTCCATTTCTGGACTTTCCCAGGATCTGTGTATTATAACTGCCTTATTTACAATAGTTCATTGTTTGTATTTTTTATGAGATGAACCGGTTTCAGTTTCGTCACCTCCTTCATTTTCATTTAAGACACGTTTAGTTTTTATGTAATTCTTGCTTTTTATAATGAAGGAAAAACTATTTTAATCTATAAACTTTCTTTCCAAAAATTATAAAGTTTACATTAAAACACTATCCGTGGACTTTCATGTTCAAACAACCAGAACAAACTTTTTCATTTTTAGAACAAAGTTATCTAGGACCAAAAATGACATTGTTCAGGAACTTTATGAAGAATTCTTATGTTTGAAGCACATCATTTTATATACAAGTTTATTTAATGAAATGAATTTTTTTTTTAAATCCAAAAAACACCTTAATTTTGAATTACATCCAACTTAATCACAAACTGGAATAATTATTCATGATCGAATCCCATTCCTGACAATGCAAAAAGGATTTTAAAAGCCATAATATTGGAGTCATTAAAACACTCCTTTCGTCCAAATTAAATCAAGTGGGAATAATGAGAACAGACAAAACAGTTTATTTTTAAATAATACATGTACCGGTCATCAGTTCATAATATCAATGATGTCTGTGTCGCGGTAACAAAAAAGAGATATCTGTAATATGACGGATTTATTAAGGAATGATATTCCGCGCAGCAAGCTGGACTACATCCCCCCTCTCTCCCCAAAAAACCCACCAAAAACGTGTAATACATAGGATGAGAAATTGCGCAATGAATAAAGTAGTCATAACGTCAACAAACACAAAACTATTTAACTATCAATAAATAGAATATGATATACGAGCTCGTACTAGTAATCTTACATGAGATTTAAGCAGGAAAATAATGTATCGACCTATGATTCATTCGGTAGAAAATGTAACTACAGAATATATTTCAAAATATTTAAGATACTCTACCTGTAAATATACATAATGATAATATCTTTAAATACATTTCATTCGTAAAATGTAAATTTATGATACATGTATTATGCCGACATCTACCTCAATATTGATGAGTTCTTAATGAAAAGTTCTCTGATTATACCGTTATTTCTGTCAGGTGTTTTGAAAACATTACAGACATGGATATTTAGGAAAAAGCGTCATTTTTTCATCAATATAATATATACACATGTATTTATTGAACCTTATCAAAGCTAATACATTGGAAAAAAGTATTAATTCTTTCATCGTCTCAAGCAAAGGGTTTTGTGACAATAAAATGGATACAAAACCCTTGTCATGCGATGGTGTATTTTTTATTCTGTATCTTAACCCAGTACTCTATGCATAGTAGTAAACACTCTATCCATCGTACGGATATAAGCTCCCTAATCAAATTCTTACCCACATTTGAGATATGCTATGTAAATGTTACTTAATTTCATTTTTTTTCATAACTTTAGAAGTATTTTTGTTACTACGTTATGTCTTTACAAAAATAGTTTCCCAACTCCATTAGCAATGATCGTAAGTGCAGACTTTTAGATCTAACTTTAACTCTTGTGGTTAGGTAATGCTTAAAAAGGTTGAATTTTAAAGAAGGAAATAAGTTCCTTAAGTGCAAGTTTACTCTAGTGTAACACTGATTTATTCCCAGGATTTTTAATTTTAAATTGAATTTTAAACGTCTTCAAATTTAATCTAAACATAAAAGATTACGCCATAAAAGGAAATTATTTTTTTTTAGTTTGATTTTATATTTATTAAATTGATCAATCATATAACGACCACCCCTTCATTGTTTGTGAATTTGCATTAGTACTGAATTTACCTGCGTCTAGATTTTGCTATTTATATATACCTATGAATATAATACACTGTTATAGATTAATACTTTTGTTTTATCTCTTTCTCCTAACGTGTACTGCATAGATAGTGATATAATGCAAAGGGCGTTGGTGCAGTTTTTAAATGGAATATGACTTAAAAAGCAAATATCTAACATAAAAATCAATATAAGGTGTGGAAGAAATGTAAATATCCGGTTGACATGCATGAAAAGGTGTTTGTAGTTATTTTAATGAAGCTCTTTAAGAATTTATTATCAATTTCATACCTCCTTCTTTTTCGTCCTTAGGCGTATCGAAAAGATAGGGTGTATCATTCCCCAACAAAACCATATGACCACTATTATCATTATTATCATTGGCTTTACTAAAAGATTTCAATGTTATCTATCTTTTCATTATTATCATTGGCTTTACTAAAAGATTTCAATGTTATCTATCTTTTTTCTCTTAAAAACCCTTTCCTATGACGTCACTTAACATATGGGTCTTGGATAGTGCAAACAAGGGACAGGTAATATCAATAAAAAAAATTAATCATTGTTTCGCAAACAATTTTCTAGTTCTTAAAGTTCTTTTGACATGAACAGCAAGGATTAAAATTAGCTTCTGAATTTGAAATTGGAATTTTAAGGTTAAAACGAAAATCAAAATATGCTAGGCATGGTTAAGATTCATCTCCTGCATGTGTGTCTCTTAGGAATATCAAGATCAATGGTCTCTAATCCAGTTAAATTTTCGGCATTCCAGTTGTCATTTTTTTCTCGCAGTTGATTGAGGATTTCTATATTTAAAAACAAGATGAAAATCTCAATACCAATTTGCTTCATTCGGAATGTAGTTATTTTTGTCTAAATGTTTCCACTGGTATGGATACATAAACAGATTTTATTCATAATTTACTGGCGATTTTTGACATTTTGAATATCGCTTACAAATTATTTTATATCGGTTGTGATGACTATTTCTATAGACGATACAAAATCGCTTTAATTACTTCTCACTAGAAATATAAACCAATTTCAGGAATAAATCGCTAATTTTATGTCTCGCTAAAATACCATTTATACGGTATTGAATGAAATATGAAAATAACAAATAGTAATCAAGCTCAAAAATCCATAACAACACAGAGAGGTAAACAAAGACAGACGCCTAAAACACAAGAGTTGGGATCAGAAGCCATAGAGGAGTAAAACATTTTCATTTTACCTGTCATACCTGGCTGTGCTCGATGTCATGATCGGGCAGGTCGAAAAATTCATAGACAATTCAGTGTAAAAAAAATTTACAAATTGCATGAAAAATGTCTGTTAATATTAATCTCAATGATAGATTGTATTTGCCGACAAAGTCATTTTATGAACTATAGAATTTGAGAATAATTCCTTTAAATAAGACTGTTGATAATTTGTTTCATCAATTTTTTCCCCTAATTTTAGAAATTTTTCGTACGAAGAGCATGCTATAGCAGTATAGTGTATCGATTCAACCGGGAAGCATTTTTCCATATACAAGGTAGCACATGTAATGATATATCAATATTGCTACATAAATGGATGAAGCCGGAGATAAAAAAAATAATATCATAACGTCTTACGTAAAGCTCTGCCGTCAGGTTACCATTGGTGTCTTTTTTTGTGAAATATCCATACAGGCCTACTAGCTGGCATAAAAAGAGATGTGGAAGACACTGTATTATCTTTTATTATAAGTCTATTGTAATATCTCAAGTCAATCTAGGGATGAAATTGATAAATTAGTTTATATACAAATCTTGAATTGAATGTCACAGCAAAAACTTCTTCTTTTCAAGTAGAAGTTTTTGGAAGAAAGCCTCATATGAATACAAAAAATGTTTGCTTATAATAGTTCAAAAGTAGTACCCATGGAGATTCCAACAGAATTTTTAAATGTACATTCAGAAATCATGTAAGCTCGGATTTCTGATATATTGACGTATTATTATTTTAAGGGCCTCGATCCAAATTCAAACAACCTATTATAGTACAGTATATAATTATGTTTTTGTTTATCTAAACTTGTTTCCCCGTAATAAACTTTCTCTATCAATAAAAACAGATAATTACATGATTGTATATGTAGATAAGATATACACACTAACAACATTATAAAAATAAATATTTCACAAAAATTCTTTTGCATAAAAATTGAACTCAAATTATTGCACTAATATATAATATACATTCAGTTAGAGTATTCAGTAAAAAAGACAAAAACAATATTTGTGATTATTACTGTTATTGACACAACCTTTACTGTGAGTATTTCACTGGAGCTCGTCTGTCCGTATTATACATTTTCTACTCCACTGTTATTGGTATTACTCAGCATTTCCTCTTTTGAATCTTCGTGTTTTTTCTCACAATTTTCAACAGTTTTACATTTTGTTGGTCTACACTTTTCCTTTACAAATTGTTTAAGTTTATAAATTCCACAAATTGCAAAATGAGCAAGAGGTGTGCAGACGAAGACATAAAGAATAGTTAACTTAATGGCTTTCCCTGGCTTATCCCACTGTAGAAATGAATATATTATTTCGTCAGTCACCAAGAAATATATCCATGTGAATAAAAGATAGACAAAACTGAAGATCATTGGAATGTACACGTGTTGAAATTTGACTGGTTTTGGGGTCATGATGAGAAGTAAAAATGTGTACAAGAGGTTGATTGCATGTTTGTTAATGGTCCACGCTTTAACTGTATGATCTGTAAAAATAAAGTTTTTCTTAAATATAATCAGACTATCTCTGTAACATCTTGAACAGCTGTTAGAAAAAACTATTCCATCTGAAAAGTCGGACATATTTTGCAGACAAAGTTTATTGCAATAAAATTTCAAATTAAAAACAAAATTCCCTGTGAAACACAACACGTTTCTACGTGAAATATGCGGTGATAACGAACAGTATTCGATCCCAAAAGTCGAACAACTGAGAGATATAAACCCCGTATGCAAGTATATTGCTGCATGATTAAGGGAAGTTTACAATTGAAAAGTTAAAGTCAACATATTTATCATAAAGTTTAGTTGTTAACTTGTTAGATTAACATTAACGTCTTTTTCAAGTAAAATTTCCAAATATGAAACAGATGTGTCAGACTCTGTAGTATCTTTTTTTCTCAAGCTCAATGGGATATATTGCATTGGCATAAAAATGGAAGTAACCATTGTTAACTGACAATACGTCGCCAATTGCACGACAATTACATGACAATACATGTAACAGAATAATGACAAGTAGATCTCTTAGATTTATAGTTCCATTGAGAAAAAAAATGTACGCGTAAACATAACCAGTGCAAGAAAATGATACAGAAATTGAGATCGCTTTTATTATACTTACGAGGAAAAATCATCGTCCAGTAAGATAAAGCAATTAAAAGCGCTGTTGGATGGGAGATATTGTGAAGAATCCATGATAATCTACTATACCAAGGCAAATTCGTCTGTATTTCTATAAAAGAAAGATTTATAAGTTTTTTGTGATATTGCTGCCATTTTTCGTTTTAAAGCGATGTTGATAAGAAACTTATGTCTGTTTTTATCAAGATATACCTCGCTCCTTTTCTGTTAAGAAACAGTAAGTATATACAGCAATCATGCATTCTACAATCGCAACTGCTGACAAAGCAACGTATCCGAGGTTAGTCAGCTTCAGAAGCCATTCCATTGGGGCGCGATGGCTTTTCAGAGACCACCAATAAGCTTCCAGAATAATCCAAACCCCGTGATACACTGTCCAGAAAATGGTCCAAGGCAGATAAAATATTGGTCTTCCAATCTGAAAATGTTAAGTAATAATTTTGCTTGTGTTTTTAAACAGTTACATAACATAGTCCTGACTGGAAAAGGATAACAAGTTAAGTTAATAATCAATCTGAGCTCTATGTACAATAATAAGTCTCCCAGAAAGTTAACCTAGGGCACTGCATCCAGTCTAGTTTAAAGTCGTGACAAGGCATTTTTACTTACTATAGTATATTTGTGTGTCATTGCATACGATATATTTTCTGCTTTCCATAACTAATTAATATTTGTCGTTAAAAATGACTTTTATGTATCTTTTACGATGCACATGTGTCATCTGAGCCACATGTTTAGTTTTCTTTTACACTTTCATAAAAGATATAATTAAGTAGTATATATACAAGAAAACTTGAGAAAACCTATTCATTTTGTTCACATTGTACAACTGTATCTTATTAAATCAAGGTTAATATATCTTCACAATTTTAAATAATTGTCAAATTCTTTTCCTGGACCTTTACAAGTACTCTAATAAATCAAATCGATTGCAAAGGAAGACATATTAATCGAGAACTACTCTGCTACATTAATGGTCATTTTCGCCATATATAAGTTTTCCCTTTCAAAATTGCAAATCGTTTTGTCCTGTTTCGCCAAAACACAGTTATACTACAGGATAAGGAAGTCTTCTATAAATAAACCCTGCTTAAAATTCACCTAATTGCAAACAACGAAGCAAAATGTCGAAAATAAAACAGAGACGAAATTTTCCTTGCATACAACATTCAATTTAATCTGATAGTTTCACATTTGAAATTCGTCTAGCCCTTGAAGTGAGTCCAATCTACTTTTTCAGTGACCAATGGCTCCACTTACCTCTAGTGTAACAAAACGTTTGGGATTTTTGTGGCTTAATCCGAATTCTTTGATGTGGAGCCACTTGGGACAAGTTGAACAGCTGTCACTCTTATCACGTGAGTTTGTCTGCATCTCGACTGCCGTCTGCAAAGTGGAAAACTTCCGCTTTCCAAGAAGTTTTTATGTTGTGGCTTTTGAAACCGCTGAAAAGTGATAAACTGTCTGTAAATTACAAGTACTTAAACTAAAACTAAAAATCACGATAATTTAAATGTCTTACGAATTTTCTTAGGTACATGTTCCTTGATTTATTGCTTACTTATACATGCATCATAGTTTTTGTTGTTCATTCAACAATTCTAATCATATTTAATATCTTTTTTTAAACTGGCAATCGTTTTGAAATCACGATTTCTCTGATAAATGTACACATTTCACATTTTAGATACTCATATTATTTGTATCATTTTCATTCATAAAGATTATCCATTATCTGGAAAAAATTCTTTCGCAGAAAAATATATACATGCGTACTCTTAATCCAAAGACGAATTTTGTGTTACCAAAACTGATCAAAATGTTCGAAATATCAGTAGAGCTATTTAAATTGTTGAGAAATATTTTTATAACAATCGAAATCAAAGTTGATTTACGCAAAAAGCTGTGCAAAATACTGTAACACAAGGGCGCTCGTGTTAAGTAAACAAATAATTAAGATTTAAATGTCACGTTTTCATCACATACCATCTGGAAATTATATTTTCTGAGCCTCTTATTTTTTTCTAATCCTTTGACTAACAAATTAAATATTTTAAAAGTCTTCTTTACAACTAAACTTTAAGTTTCAGTGTACCCTTTATGAATTAAATATATCCGGAATCCACTATATGTAAACGCAATCTACGTGCATGTAAAGAAACGTACAAACTGGGCGTTTATATTTAGTGTACTCAAGAATCTTTCATTGAACATCCAAATAGCTATTTATTCGATAATTAAGGAAACACCCACATCCTTAATTTAAAAGTAAGATTTGCTAAGAAGAGTTGTTTTGATTGCTGGGTTAAAGTAATAAAATACTCAGTTTATCTACATGGTCACTTGATGGTCAAGATGAACAAACACGTTCTAGAATTAAGCACATTTTTAAGAGTCAAAGCGTTGACAAATCTCTTCTTCATTAAAAAGTGACAAGAAAAGTAGAAATGTATTAACTTGCACCTAGGCTTTAAACAAAAATGTTCCCATGTTTTGTTAAGTTTTATGTTTTATGCTATCTCCAGATTATGCTAGTTTCCAATGCATGTGACATACATGAAGTCCATAACGGAACATTCGTCTTGTTTAATATTAAAAACAAATTGAATTACTGTGTGTATTCTAATATTTAACAGTTGTTTCATATATATGTTTAGGTAGTATTTACATAGGTTATAGAACACTGCAATAAGAAAAAATATTAGATTGAAACCCTATTAGATAAAGGAATGAAATATTTTACTATTTGGATTGATTTTTAATACAATGGAATGTGATTGGGAAACTGAAATTTTGATCAATTTTCATTAATATTTCAATTAGCTCTTAGCACATCTAAAGCGAATCCTATGAGAGCAGAAAAAGATTAAATATTTCATGTTACTTTCCCCTTTCTTGATAACCGTCTCTGTTGTTTGACATTTCATCAGATTATATACATATTTTTCAGGTATAGCTCAAATTCTCTCACTGTTCGATAGAGATAAGCGAAGATATTTTATTCCCCAAATATTTTCGAAACTGCTAATTTAATTTCACGCTCTTGTGTACAGCAGTGTATATTCATTTATTTCTCGTGGTGGCCCTAGAAATAAACATTTATTTCAATTTGCTTTTGTGTTTTCTCCAAGATTCTTTTTAACTTATTCAATTAATCAAACATTAAATTAGGCATATTCAGGCCAAAACTTTTTTGAAGAAACAAAATGCTATTTGTGGATTAGTTTAAACTTCAAACAGCAAAGCAATGCGTTATATAACGAAAATTAATATTAGGCAAAAAATTATAATAAGCTTTTTTTTTATATCTTAGGAAGTCTGTTTAACACTCTACTTAAATTTGTACGTAGATACTTCATGTACTTATAAAACAATTTGAAAAGTGTTTCCGACCTTATATTAGTTTAAGTGAATAAAATATATACATATAGAATTATGTATAGGTCTTAATCTATGAATCAGAGAGCAAAGTCAGAAATATTCACATGATCAAAAGTTTTATTTAATGTTATCAAAATATCATATTTTTCTTTGAAAATACTTAAATCAATCACATTGCTTAATTCATTAAGCAGAGACAAATATAATGCAAGAGTAAGATAATAGTAAATAAAAATTAACACGAGTTAAAAATCAGCATATATATGAGTTTAGAATGTGTAGGAAATAAGCACATCATGTTTTAATTGAAAAAAATTAATCATTAACACAAAATCTTACCTCTCGCGTCAATTAACGTCTACTCAGGCACGTTCACATTTAAAAACATTCGCCAGTTATGTAACTATATATACATTAAGTTTCCCAGACTTGATCGGTAGAATGTTTTTATACTAGTGAGAAACATGACGATAGAAGGTCCAGGGTCGAAGAACTGTTTAGGACCGCCCTACACTTAGATACGGAGGTATAAATTTCCGGTGCTTATTCTGAGAAGAAAACTAGATACTAGCACTATATACTAGCTGTCACTAAAAGGAAATCTGTACAGAAAATATGACCTTAAGGAGTTACTATTTAAATAAATTGTAATCCCACTCAAACTTCATTAAGCATTTCACGGTCTAACACAGAAATGAAGAAAAGGATTACGAATATTCATTGTAATCATAGAAATAGACAAGGAATCACATAATCGATTGAGTCATTAAAAATACTGAGTGACACATATTTAAATGTTACCGTGTTCTCTGTTCAGTGGTATTTATACTTACTCCAGCGTGAAGAGAATGACATTTTCTTCTTATGTGGTATGACCGACTGTTTTATCGGTCAATCGTTGGAGGATGCATGATCACCGCTGTTAGTTTCCTGATCAGAAACAATAAGATTATATCAAATAGGATGTACCGCGTAATATAAACAAGTATATTGTCTCTTTACCATTGTTTTCCTGCAATGAATCACATGTAGACAAAGAGCAGATTTTTTCTGTTTAATTTAATCTCACGGGATTGATTTTGTGATTATCCTTTTTTTCATTTGTGATTGTGTTAATTATAAATTTCTAATTTTGAGTTCCTCATCATAGATAGAAACCTTCAGGTTTACATACGAATCATGTCCTATTTTTAAAATGCATATTACAAAAGAAAAAAAACTAATAATAATATTATAATGATATGTACTAGGTGATGGAGTCACCTTTTGTTCTTTTGAATATAAATGATATACATGTGTAATGCTCATTTTCATACAACAAATGATTTATTTGTTCCTCCATTACTTTTGAAACACTTGAATATTTCATGTACTACAAGAAGATAAACACTTAAAATTGAACGTTGAGAATATTTATCAAAACCAAATTAGGTTTTGCACAATAAATCTACAAAATAAAAAAAAATAACAATGCAGCTCTAAAAAACTAATATCATCAATGTTAATACGACAAAAGTGTAATTCATGGAAAACTTTGTTTCCAAGTTAAATACAATGTGGTTGAACAGGGTATATTTACAAAATGTATGTTAAGAACTATAGAATACAAACATTACATTTTATAAAATCAATCATATTATATAACCTTTGCTGCTGTCTTAGACTTATAACAAACTTTAAACAAGAATTTTTTCCTTGTATTTTTCCCCAGCCCGAATGCTTAACAGGTTCAACATTTTTTTTAAAATTAAATATATGAAAACAGAAGTTATAACTACATGTATTATATTAAAATATTTGTTTCATCCTGAGTCTAACATCAAAATATATTCTATTTTTCTTTAGGATTTTAATATAATGTCCTCGTAATTTGTAACAAGCTTTAAATTTTTCACCTAAAGATTATAAGCTATTTCAGTATTGTAAAAGGCGAACATAACAATTATCGATCTCAAAAAAATCTGTTATAGCAATACTGTTCTCAGCTTCTTTTTGAATTAAAATCCTTTAAAAATAAGTGTCTAAAATTGCAAAAGTACTTTTTAAGGATATCCTCACAAATTCGGACAATTTGGAATCTTTTCTTTAATAAAGGTCATCAGGTTCATTCTGAGATTATAACATTCTCCAACAATCTGAAAATAACTTGGTCTTCTTTTCCATTGCTTCATCCAACCAAGGTTTTCACAAGTGCATTGAATATGGCACCCAGATAAATTCAGAACCTGGGGCGATTTTAAATTTTGAATAGCAGGCGGTATGTACTGCAACTTAGTTTGCTCAAATATTAAGTAACTTAAAGCATCATTTCTTAGAAAGGCTTTGTCAGAGACATTAGTTATTGGGTTTCCCGATAAGACTAAAATGTTTAGGTTCTTCATTTTAACAAAATCATCCTCTTGGATTGATGAAATATTACTGTACGTTATTTCTAGTCTTTTTATGCTTTCCACTGATGACAAACACGATGGAACACGGGTTAATTGGGTATTATTCATCCGCATCACTTGAAAGTTTGAACTAAAATTTGGCATAAAAATATCATCGCCTAACGATGAAATTGGCTCATCTGAAATAGTAATGATGTATAAATGACTTGCTTTCAAGAAAATGTTTGGCAAAGTATTCAGTCCATTGTTTTGGAATGTGACGTCTATCAAACCCGGAAGACCATTAGGGACCGATTTCGTTATTGCTTCAGCTGTCAAATTACGATTCCTTTCCAGTTTGAGATTTTGAAGATTATTTAACAGGTTGATAGAAGATGGAAACCTTGTTAAGCTTGTGTTATGAAGACCAAGTGCATTTAAAGAATTCACAAAAGGTTGAAATACATCGTCAGGAAGACTGGTGAATGTCACATCTGATAAATCAATCGAAGCCAAAGATTTGAGAAGCTTCAAACTCTGTGGAAATTGTAACATTTCACTTGATCCAAAATCTAAAAATAGTAAGGAATTTGAAATGTTTGCAATCACATTTTGATCTAGATCCGTCATTGGGTTTTTGGAAACTGACAGCGACATGATATTTTGAAGCCTTGCAATTGCTGATGGTAATGATGATAAATTATTTCCAACTAAATCTAAAAATACCAAAGAGTCTTCACTTCCATTGAACGCATGGTCATCTACCTTTTTAATTTCGTTATTGTCTAGCACAAGCATATGAACCTTTATTCCATTAAAAGCATTTGAAGGTAAATGTCCTAATCTGTTGTTATTTAAGAATACTGTCCATGATCCATTAGCTGGGTTAATTTTCGGAAGTGACGTCATATTTAGGCTTCTACAGTACACGGTCGGTGACTTGGCATCGCAAAGACAGGGTGGCGGGAATGGACACGACAGACATTGTACAGCAAACCAACAAAACTGAACAGCAACCTGGTAATTATAACAAGCAAACAAGATCATTGAAGGAAGTAAAGAAGCTCACATATGCAGAGAGAGAGAGAGAGTTACCTTTACATGGCACATATTGATCAGTACAGTTACCTTACAATGTTGTATCTTATCATTTCTTATCTCTTTACAACAGCTAATAACTGAACACCATACTTTTATGTAATAATCAAGCAGTTTTTTTATCCATCTGTAGTCACTTGTATTCTTCTGTTGAACCCATTGCTTTTAGGAAAGAAACGGTAACATGCTAATGGCCCTGCACGGCAGCCCAAGGCCAAAGTTAACGTTTTGTAAAATTGTAGTTACAACTCCTAGGCAAGATTTCAAAAATGTTGAAACTCACAGAAAGGTTTTGTCACAAGGAAAAGAAATGTTAAATATAATGGCCCTAGTACCTGGCCAATCATTCAGAAAATGCAATCAAATATTTAAAAAATCTAAGTACTGAGAGTACTGATAGGCGGAAGCATGATTGCAAGTTCTCATGTGCAGAACTTTAATGACACATAGTTGAAGCATAATCTGTTTTAAAGGGGGGGGGGGACGAAAAATATTTTGATGGATTGTAGTATTGAAACCAAGGAACAAGAATAAACAATATGTCTCCCTTTCGGAGACATGCGAATAAGTGACGTCAATAGCAATATGAACATTTTAACATCATACCCCCCGCTTGAAAAGTGGGAGGGTATATTGTAATCGGTATGTCCGCCTGTCTGTCCGTCTAGCTGTCTGTCTGTTACACTTAGGGGTATTCATCTCTTATCCGCCACTCCTCATACCACTGAGTGAAATTTAATGAAACCTTCACAGAATCTTTATTACATATTGCCATTGTGCATCTCCTATTTTACTTTTTGATGCAACACATATTTTTGGGTTTCCCGGCCACAGCAAAACATGGCCTTTTCCATTATAATCATATAGGAGGCGGGGGTATCATTTAGTGAGCTCATTGCTGACAGTACCTCTAGTTTTTGTCAAGTATAACAAGTTAGAATTTAAATGCTATTTGCAATACATAAAATTTTTAAGATATGGTTTTGGGGAACAAGGAATGGATAATTAATATAAAATTTCACATAAAAATGATTACTAATGAGTAATAGAAAACAATAAATATCACAACTGCTTTTGGGTTTTTTCTTATTTGTATTAAGTTTTAGTACCAATGAAACAAAGTCTTGTTATAAAACAGCAAATTATATAAGGAATTAGGGATGCAACATACATAGAAGACCTTACATAGATTTACAATGTGCTTGTGGTTCTATGAATTGTTTTCATTCAATACATGTACATGTATGGCCCAGGTAGAACAAATCACACAAGTCTCTAATGCTGATGACAGGTGAACCCTTTGTCATGATGGTGTGTTCCCGTTTTGCACACATTTGATAATTAGGTATAGAACAATAGGTGTGAAGTGTGTTTTGATAGCAATTATAGTCTGATTTCTGGTTTGGATTTACCTGGATTTACCTGTGAATACCTGATTTAGCTTAATGTATTCTTAAGAGGTTTAATACAATTTTGTAAGTTATTTATTAAAATTCTATATATATATCTATGGGGAAATATTTTATTTTATTGAATAAAATATTATTATTCATTTAATATTATTCATTAATTAAGTCAAATTAAAAAAAAAGAATACTTTTCAATAAAATTCTAAATGAATTAAAGATATAACAAATAATAAAGAAAATAGAGCATAAGAATTAATTATACTCAATAAATAAATATCAAATACATTAACTTTGTATTTATTCTCTTATTTTTTCACTATAAGTTCACCTTTCACATACATACTAAGTATGTCATACATACTAAGTATAGTATAGACTATAGCAATTAAGTAATTATTTCACCTGGTCAAACTTCCGTTTTTCACACATTTTTTAATTACATGTAATTCAAATGTGTGCAAAACGGGAACAAACCGTCATGATGTCCACAATAAATGGAATATTTTTTCAAGAGAGCTTCTACCATGGCAGGCCCTTGAACGCCAGACAATTTTTTTTTATTCCTGTGGTAAATTTGTCTTTGATGATTGTAAAATATTGGTACATGCATCCCAGTATCAGTGGTGATTACTTTTCTGGAGATTATCTACACCATCCCCCTCACAACTGTCTCTTGGCAGAATTTTCTATAAAGTGTATAATTGAAAATTTAACAAAAATTATTTTACAATGTATCTGACTTTCAATAAATGAAATCAAGGACTTCAAATAACCTTTAATGATATATTTTTATATATTTTCTAGGGAAGTCAACTTTACCGGGTATTTGATCCAACGTCCAAGTATCGAATACTAAAAATAAGTACTTGGTTACTCGGATGTATATTATTTCTTATTTCAGGGTACACATTTTTATCAAAGCTTATCAATTTTAACTAAAACATGCAAATGGTAATAAGCATGTCTTCATCTACACCTAGCTGTTGCATAAACCAATGCCGAGTGTCAGGCAGATGGTCAACAGAGGAGATGCAGCTACATATAAATTTTCTGGAATTGAAAGCAGTTCATTTTGTGCTGATGACAGTAGCAGATCAGATTTATGGCCAGAATATTCAAATTCAAGTAGACAACAAAACGGCCGTAGCTTACTTGAATCACATGGGAGGAACTCATTCAATGTCAATGAACTCCCTGGCAAAGGAAATTTGAGAATGGGCAATTGTGAGAAAGATTCATCTGACGGCTGTACACATTCCAGTAGTAGAGAACACGATTGCAGATTTTTTGAGTCGACATTTTATGGATCAAATGGAATGGCAGTTTAATCAGGACCTAACTTACAAGATATTTCGACAACTTTTCCATCCACAAGTGGATTTGTTTGCAAGTCGTCTAAACTTCCAAATTCCATGTTACGTGTCATGGCAACCAGATCCGTTGGCCTGGAAGACGGATGCTTTCTCAATTCCTTGGACAAACCTGAAAGCCTTTGCGTTCCCACCATTCAACCTAATATCTGCTGTTCTTCAGAAAGTAATAAGAGACAATCCTCTATTAATACTGATAACTCCCTTTTGGAAGACTCAACCATGGTATCCACAGGTTCTTCATCTGTCTTGCAGGAATCCAATTCTTCTCCCTGCGGTGAACAACTTGTTAACACTACCATACGACAGAGAACAGATACACCCGTTAGAGAGGACTCTCAAATTAATCGCGTGGACAGTGTGCGGAGACGTTACATTACAAGAAGATTTTCGAAGAAAACAGCAGAAATTCTCAACAAAGCATGGAGAACTAAAACTAATAAACAGTACCAATCTGCATGGAAACTGTGGTTGGGCTGGTGTGGCAGCAGGAGTTTGGATCCCTTTCAAGTTTCTATAGTCGACGTTTTGGAATTTTTGTCTTGTGAATTTCAGAAAAACAAATCATATAGTGCAATTAATAGTTACCGTTCAACTCTATCTACCACTATTCCGCCAATTGATGGCTTTCCTGTTGGAAAGCACCCAACTGTTATTCAATTCATGAAAGGTGTATATAATTTAAAACCTACCGTTCCAAAATATTCATGTGTGTGGGATGTTTCAGTCGTTCTGAAATTTCTTAATTCATTACCGTGTAATGACAATTTGTCACGTAAGGATTTGACATATAAATTAGCTATTTTAATAGCTTTGGTGTCTGCAGATAGGGGACAATCCATTGCCTTTTTGGATCTAAAATTTTTAAAGATTCTCCCATCAAAGGCAATTTTTGTGATTAACAAACTTACAAAAACCTCAAGACCTGGCAAGACAGCCAAACGTGTAGTACATGTATTACCAACTTACACTAAGTGTAAGAAATTGTGTGTTATCAACTTTACAATGTTATATTGAAAGAACTAAAGACTTGCGTAGTAGCTCAATATTGTTTATCTCAATATTCAAACCTCACAAACAAGTGACTTCAAGTACAATTGCCAGATGGATTAAGTCTGTGTTGATTAGATCTGGAATAAGTGGATATGGTGCCCATTCCACTCGAAGTGCATCTACTTCAGCAGCTTTAGAAGCAGGACTTTCAGTGAAAGACATTATGAATGTGGCTGATTGGTCAAATGCATCCACCTTCAACAAGTTCTATAAGAAGATCACTGTGTCATCTGACGTTTCCTTTGGAAAGGCAATTTTAAAGTCCTCTAGTTAGGTAAGAAGTAATTTTATAATTATATAATTATACATGTTTAACTACTTTGAAGTCTGCATATTTAGCTATGAATGTACGTAAGAGGACGAAGGATAATTTACAATTAGACAAGGGTAAGGTACTTACCTGAAGGATAATTGGGATTATCCTAGTCCTCGTCGTACATTCAGAGCTAAATCCCCCCTGCCCATCCCTTATTTAGGTGTATCACATGCAATTATTTGTGTCCTCTTTGCTCGCACCTTTAAACTATGATGAGTAGTGGCAGGAAATCTTTTATTGTTTCTATGAATAAGTGGTCATTATCTGCGCATGCACTGGATACTGCATATTTAGCTCTGAATGTACGACGAGACTCGGATAATCCCAATTATCCTTCAGGTAAGTACCTTACCCTTGTCTAATTGTAAAACATCCGTTATCGACTTTATCTACATTCATTCATTCATTCGGTGAAATCTGACATGCATAGAAATAATGCCACTATATCCACTTCAAGAATGAAGTGGGTATATAGAAATAAGAAGAGATTCAAAACTGCTGAAAGTCAGTTTGAGTAGTAAGTTTAGTGTATGTATACTGGAAACAACCAACAAATGATATAATATAAGACTAGCGATCCTGACCAACAATATATGTCCCCTCTCTTTCGCTGGTTATATAAACTACATGTGTACACAGCAGTTTGTCAAATAGATCCAATTATAAGAACCTTTTGTAATTTTGGGTGTATTATGCATTTGTGTTTTATTTGATAGCTAATTTTAGTACCAAAAATTATTTCCAATGGAATTGGTAATTATTTGTACATGTATTACACTGATAAACATGATAAAATCAGCTTTGTG